TATAAAAAATTTTAAATATATAAATTAAACAATAACAAAGAATATTTTATAGTTAATATATAAAATAATTTGAATTATATTTGATATATAAAATAATATTAATATATTTAAATATTATATACAATATAAATTAATTAACATTTTTATATTTAATTATATTATAATTATCATTTCTACTTAATTTATCAATTATAATAATAAAAATATTTTGGTCATTATACTAAAAAAATTATTATCCAATTTATTTATATTTAGTCTCATTAATCTTATCAGATATAATAAATCCATTCAAATCTATTATTTTTTCTTTATTCTAATCATCCCAATTTATTCAAAATTACCTCAAATCCACTCAAAGAAATCCTCAACCCAATCCATGCACAAACTAAAAGAAAAATAGATAATATAACTTTATAACTCAAAAAATTTGTTTTTTTTTTAAATGTAAAAATTAATAATAGTATAACTTTTAAAAATTGCCAAAATTAAAGGGTACACAATTCCTAGATACATTTATGGATGAAGTGTCTAACTGATTTGATTGTAAGTGTCTAACATAAAAAGAGTCTTTCTTTCCTTTTTATGAAAAAAAAAAAGAGAGAAGAGGAAGTGATAATTATTATACCCACTAAATTCATATATTTTATTTATTTCAGCGTAAAAAGTTATACTAAATTTAAATCACATGTAATTTTATAAAAATAAAATATAATAAAGGTAAATAATATAGTGAGAAGAATTGTGTCAATCTTATTAATGGGAGTTTAATCAATCAACTGAGTGAAATACATAGGTTGATATTAATTAATAATACATAATCACTTTGATGATCAACTCACACAAATTAATTAAGAGTTTTTAAATATATATATATATATATATATATATATATATTTATAATTTTTATCCCAAATTAATAATTATTAAATATATTTATTTATTAATTTATAATTTTGATCTTTATTAATTTTTTTAAAATTTATATTTATTTATTATTTATTCATAATATGTTATTTCATTTCCCAAAATCATTAGTTAGAGATTATTTTAAGTCCAATTTTAATATTGTTTTTAAGATGACAATATTTTCCTCTAAAAATTTGCAATGATTGAGGGAAAATATTAATACTAATACTTTCATTATATTCATAAATAATAACTATATATTATTTACTTTTATCTCAGTTGATCTTTTCTATCGCATTTGTTACAAATAAATATATTCATTTCAAAGAAAATTATATTTATTGAAACATAATATAAATATCCGTAAGTTCTGATTAAGAAATTAATTGAAAAGTTTTATTCAATATATTTTTTGTAATAAATTTTTTTATTCACTTAGAAAAGATAGTTTGATAAACATAGAAAGAGGGATCACGGTCCCTAAAAAAATTCTTTTAAAATTTTATTAACAAAACATATTATAATCTTCTAAAAAATTATTTATTTAAATTGATCTCTAAAATAAATTTTCTGATTTCATCACTCTCTAATATAAATATTGATATATATTATCATGAGATATAATATCTGGATTGGAAAATTAAACACTTGATTATTTGAATAAATGATCTACATTAATGATATGTCTTGATTTAGTATAAATGAAATATGGATCATTTTTATGATTAAATTTTTTTCGCTAACTTATATTATATTTGTTTTGAATATTATTTTCATATGTTATAATTGTGTTAGTACACAAAAGTAAATTATCAATCTTAAAGTATAACATAAAAGTAAATTATGTTTTGGATAATCAAACTCAACTTTAATTTGTGTACAAAGAAATTTTAATTTCAATTATACTTATATTTTATATTTTGTGGGACTTTCTTTATATTTTCATAAAGAAGGACACACATTATAAAATAATATAAATATTAAACCTATTTATATTATTACATAGCTTAGTTTTATTTTATTGTATAACTATAATGCTAAAACGTTCTTAAGTTATTGGAGCATAAGATTAGAATAAAAATCTAATATATATATATTTTTCATTTCGTGGAAAAACGTTGACTTGAATGATTTTTTACTGTTAAACATCACTTTATAAATGTTGAAAATAAAAAGAAGGATTCATTTTCTTCTTTGATATAATGATTCTTCTTTGTACGTCAGCGCTTTATAATTTATTTATGAGAAAAGAAAATTATTTAATCTCTTAATTTCTAGATTACGTCATAGTACTTAATAATTTATCAGGTTACGTTCCTAAAGTAATCAAACAAAATGACTTAATTTTTTCATAATTGTTTTTCAACTTTGTCGGGTATATACTTTTCACCTTCAACGTGAAACTAAAGTCTCTTCATGCTTCAAACATTCAACCTAAAATCCACATAATTTGCGCTTATGGATAATAATATTGTTTAATTAGTACTTCTTATATTTATTAATTAATCATATATTATTGATATTAGTAGGTTTAAAGATACGAAAATTAAAAAAAATCATAATATTTTATATTTTTTTAACTTAGATTCTTGATCGTACTAGAAATATTCTTCCATTAATACCACTTAAATAAGTATTAATAATAACATAAAGAAAAATTATTAATATAAAATAAGTATTTTTATTATTTACAATATTTCTGACAAAAAATTTATTAGTTATATTATTTTATTCGTAAATATGAGAATATATATATATTACTGAGTTAAACATCAATATTTTTTCTTCCATCTCTCCATTAAAAAGCAGAGTTATTTTTATTTATATTTAAAATATTTTATTTTATTTTTCTTTTCGTCTATTTATATTTATTATTAAAAAAATCCCAATTTGTTGTCATTGAAGCATAAACTAATTTCATAGACTCAAATTGATGCACTTTATAAAGAAAATGATTTAAACCCTAATTAAAAAAAGTTTCAAAATTTTGAAAGATGTTAATCCTATTATTTAATATTGATATTAATAAATTAACATCGATGAATCATTGTTATAATATTATGTGATAAGGATGGAGCATTGAATGGGGCGAAGTTGGGAACAACATAGTATTGTATATGGTGGGTCCATGCCAACAATTTTCCACACGGTGCTTTTGGATTCATGTTAACACTGCCCTAGTTTAAACCAAAACATGGACCTTTGTCTAGGTGGTCCAACATGACTCGTCAATTTCACTATTACACGTATTCTTAGTTAATTAAGATTAATACGAGAGTTCATATATTTTATTTTAACGTTGGACTTTTGCAAAATAAACTTTAAGGAACAAAGGGAATCATCATTCTAATTGTAAGATAACACCATGAACTAAATAATCTTTAATCTAATAATTATGAGAAAAATAATCAGTTGATCCCTTCAAATTATATACAACATATAAAATATAATATATATGAAGGATGTAGATGAATGTTTTGTTATTTTAAGGGTATATATATATCATCACCCTTAAAAAAATATATATGATAGAAAAATGGAATTCATAATTAAATTAATTTGTTTGAAACAAAAGTAATATGTTTTTATTTTATTTTCATGTTATCTAAAACAAAGAATAATTCATTAAATTTCTAACTACAACATTATTTTCTTTTGTAGTTATTATTTAATAATAAATTATTACATTTTACTGTAAAATAATAATACTAATATAATATATAAGTAAATAAATAATGAGTTTATAACTTTTATGTAATTTATAATTTTGGTTTTCTAAATTTAATGATCATTTAATATATTTACTTGTATATTTATAATTTTACCCTTTCATCACTCTTAACTTTAATATAATTTATGATTTTGTTCTCTCAAACTTAATAATCATTTAATATATTTATTTATACATTTACAAATTTATTTTCTTTCACTTTTTATATTTATTTATTATTTATTAATAATATATTATTTAACTCCAAATCAACATCGCCACTGTAAATAACTAACTATATGAAAATTAAATTCGTGAAGTTAGTTCATAAAAAATAAATGAATTTCATCCATGGGAAGGTGATATTTATCCACTTCTATGTTGAAGTTAGATAAATGAATCTGTGTGCTCATTTGATCTGAACAGTGCAATAATTGCTTGATAATTCCTCATGTAATTTTTTATATTACTTTTCAATTCCTTGTAGTTTCTTCTCCAACTTTTTTCTGGTTGTTGCTGCGAAAGAGAATGATGAAAAAAATAGTTAAAGTATAAATAAGTATAAAGAAGGATAAAACTCATCTTAGTAATTTTCATCTACTTTTATTCAAGTTTCTATTTATTTTTATTTTTTTTCTCTATTTCTTTTCAACAAAAATACCCTTAATTATATTCTATTTTTAATATGTTTTTATATACATATTTATATTTATTTCATCAAATTTCTCCACTTTATCAGACACATTCTAGGCCCCTACCTCCCATCTCCAATAATCTTTAAGAATAAATTAAGTGTTTAGTAAAAAACATCACTAAACCTACATTTTAATCAAACTAGGTTAAAACAACACAAATATTTATGAAAAAACTTAAACAATCATCAAAGAATATTTTTAGGGTGGTCCATTGCATAAGTTATAGTTAAATGACCTTTTCCCTTTTAAAATCCACCTGTTTTCTCTGATTTTGACTCTAGCCAAACCAAGACTTTTCAAAATATTAACCGTGTCATTTAGTTCTTAAAATTAGAGATTTTCAACTAAACACGGAGTAGTTAGGGTTTGCCAAAAACCAACACCTAAGCACACCTGTTTAGAATCACATCCCAGTTCAAACAATGATTTGAATCATTCATTTTTGTTAACTACATCACTAAACTGTGCCATCCTCATGAATTAAAGAACATAAATTACAATGCAAGATTCAAAAGAAAAAATAAAAAATTGTATTTTTCTTATTCATGATGCAGCCATATTTCATGGAATATGTTACAAATCAACTGCTCAAATGATAATATCCGACAAGATGGAACCTTTCAGTACTTGAGATACAATTGAAAGCACAAAAATCGCCTTTTTTCAATTTCTTCCATTTCAACGGATATATGCTTGTATTATGCCAGAGCAATGACAAAGTATGCATGTGTTTGCAAAGTGCGCGTGTGTTTCAGTTTCCAAAGAAGTGTGGTGTGGATGAGACTGTTCTGAGATGGGTACACCTACACGGCAGAGCCATAAATAAAAGTCCATGCATTTTAATTTCTAATGCAGTATATTTGTCAGATCTAAAATTAACAGTGGAGATCAAAGTGTTGGTCAGGTGGCAATAATGAAAGTTATAATAGAATTAATAAGGAAGAAGAAATAAAGAGCATGGTACCAAACTCAACCGTTTATAATAAGTGGCATGTAATTCTTTTGTAGGTGTCCACATAGTCTTCCCATTGAAGTAAAGTTGGTTGAAGTTGTCCACATTGAGTGAGAAAGTGGCCAACCAGCCCTTCTTTCTCTTTCTCTCATCATCATGCATCATGGAACCAAAAGAAAAAATATAATTATATATCCCACAAAACAAAGAAAATTATAAATCACACAAAAGGTGAAAGGTGGCTGGAAGAAAAGTAACTTCAAACAACCTAAGGGGATTGGATTCTAAGTTCTAGAGAGAGATATTTGAGCCAAGGAGGAAGAATCATGTGGTGCTGGAAAGGGGAGGGAGGCTAGAAAATAAGTAGAGAGAGGGTACCCTCTTCTTTGCACTGTTCTGTGCCTGTTACACCACTTTTAGGAGTTCTTCTAGCAACCTCTGCCAACAAAAATAAGGTATCTTCTCTTTGATCCTTGTGTTTTGTGTTTGTTTTATTAATATATTTTCAAGATTTAGCTTTTGGGGTTATACTAAATTTGTTAGTTATTATGGTTATCTTATCAATCTTATGGACATGGACCTGTCTGAATTATAATTCTCCCTTTTGCTTTTTAATTTTCATCAACATGGCATTAACTGACCCGACCTTGGGATCCTCTTAACATAGTCTCAACCGTAGAGCCTGTCAGAAGGTTATGTTTTCTCGATTTGGTTGAAACTGTAGGAAAACAATCCATTTCCTCTCTGTCATGTTCACAACTTGGTCTTTCCTTCTCCTTCACCAGAATTGACTAAGCTTTCATGTCATAGATCATCTAGGATTTTCTTCCTTCTCAAATTTCCTTGGTTTCTAGAACAAAATTCTCTTTATTCTTCCTTTTTGGTGTTTAATTTTGACAATTCCACTCTCTTTACACGTTTGCTTTCATTTTTCAGTTGAAAGTTTCGTCCTTTTCTCACCTTAGATTATACTCCATACTCTTTCTATGAACCTTCAATGATATCGTCATGTAACCTTGGATTGGTGTGTTCGTTAATATGAGTGTCCAATTAAAAACTATACCGTTCTCTTCTTCTTGTGTGCTCTGCATAAAGTGGTCTATTCTCTTGGGTGAATGAAGGGTTTTTCATTAATTCAATTTGTTGTTTATTTATTCAATTATTTTTTGGCCATCAACAGCCTGAAAATAAAATAGAGATGCTGCCCCCTTGCTGGCGATCGTTCTGGTGAGCTTTTCTCTCTTTATCAATTTCTTCCGTTGGTAAAGGAGAAACATATTATGTACCAAAATTATAATAATAAAACATGATGCTGTCACAGCAGAATGAGTTATATGTGTATATAGATCAAATGAACGTCTTTGTTATCTTGTATGCTAGTCCATATTTATCTCGTATGTCTCCTCTCTTTCTTAGTATGATAGAATTTTAAACACCTGATGAATAAGGCCTGAACGGTTTTGCTCTTACAAGTTCTGAATTCACCTTATTTTCAATCTAACTAAAAATTTCTTAATTCTATAATATCACCTGCATGCACAGGTCATGATCTTTTGCCTTCATTTTCTGTTGCAGGAAGAGACAGTAATGCTACTGACATGGGAAAGAAGGGGAGTTGGTTTTCTGCAATCAAGAGGGTTTTCACTCACCACTCCAAAGGGAAGGTAAGTAATAGAAGTTAAATACTTGATTGAATTTTGTGTGCTGATCTTGTTGCTATATATTGGTTTCTTTTAGCATCCCCCATTAGATGACAAAAAGATTAGCCATTTGAGACTGGAATTACGGTGAATAACTTTGCAGTTAGTGACACTGAATTATAAAGGACAAACCTATTCCAGGTTTTTACGGTGCTGAAATTCTGGTCAATTAGGCATGTAGATGTATAATGATATATATTAGAAAATCTTCCAAACCTCAAAGAGGTTCCTCCATGACCCCTAATGGATAATTTAAGATTTTTGCAAAGTGATCTGGGAGGTTGCTTGCCTTTCATTTCAACATGTTTCATCATATTTGTTTCTGCATTAAAAGCAAACTCTACTTGATGGTGGTTATTTTTTTATTGGAAGTCAGTGTTTGTAACAAGTGTTGTTACCAATATATCTATCTAAGCATCTTCTATCATGTAGCATGATGCGGATAACAAAGGCACAAAAGAGAAGAAGAAAGGTCTAGGAAAAAGGCATGGAGAGACCAATTCATTCATCCCCCTCTTCAGAGAGCCAAGTAGCATTGAGAAAATCTTTGGGGAATTTGAAAGGGAGCAACAACTACTGGGGATAAGGCCTGCCACTCCTCCTGAGAGACCCAAAACTCCACCTTATGTCCCTCCAAGAGCTCCTTCTCCTAGGCCTCCTTCTCCAAGGGCTGCATCTCCAAGGCCTCCATCTCCAAGGGCTGCTTCTCCCAGGGCTTCTTCTCCGCGAGGTACCTCTCCCAAAGCTGCATCTTCCCGGATTGCTCATCACCACAAGGAGGTTGGCTACAGACCGGAACCAACTCTGAGGCAACAGAATGCCTCAGCTACTAAAATCCAGGCTGTTTACAGAGGTTATATGGTAAGCTTTCAGGTGTTCTCAATGCCATAACTAGAATTTTGGCTTTGTTAATGTGTCTCCTTAGGTCTATGTTTAGGAATTAAAGTACTTGTAACACATAAAAAATGAAAACATTTTATTAAACTTGTTATGAATGCATTCCACCATAACAAGAAGTTTGCCTTTGTTAATGTGTATCTCCAGAGCATTTAATACTTTCTCCCTTTAGTAATTAGGATGATACCTATAAAGGGTAAGTAATGCATGCTTCCCAAATATGCTAGATAGGCATAAGTAAACAAAAGTCATAGAATTCAAGGGTACATGATCAACCCAATCTCTTCTATTTGTTTATGTTCATATCCCAAAAATGAGAAATATTAAGTAGAAACTCTATAACGGATTTTGAAATACACTTTTTTACTATTATTTGAAATTTATGGTGACTCAAAAATGATATGGGTCATACTCTCTATTTAATGAGTCTCACTGGTACTTCTGTAATTCCGAATAAATTTAGATAATAATAAGAAATGTGATGGCAGTATTCCTTAAAAAAAAATTCAGGTTTCTGACAGTGCAGAAGAATAAGTAGATAATTCATTATTCTTCATTTAAATGCACAAACTCACTGATAAGTTTGTCTAACAATCAGAAATGGAACATAAAAGCACATCATGTGTAATTATTTCTGGGAAATGCAAATTTAACCATGTCTTTCTTGTCAACCTTGAAAATTATGTGCATAAAGTGGCTGATTTTTGTGCTAACTTTGAGAAAATGAATGGGTTAATAAATTAAAATTGAGTCAGCATTTGCATGAAGAATGCCTCTTGATCCAATAGTTTTAACTGCTTTTGATTATATTATGAAAGAAAGATCAACCTTGTGACATGATGTACTTGCAATGCAGGCCAGGAGGAGTTTTAGAGCACTAAAGGGTCTGGTGAGGCTTCAAGGAGTGGTAAGAGGACAGAATGTGAAGAGGCAGACAGTAAATGCCATGAAACACATGCAACTGTTAGTGCGAGTTCAATCTCAGATTCAGTCTCGAAGGATCCAGATGTTGGAAAACCAGGCACGATATCAAGCTGAGTTCAAGAATGATAAGGAAACAGCCAGTATCTTGGGCAAACTCACTGTAAGCCTTCTAACATGTGCATGTCAAAATTGTTGAGAACATGGGAAAATGGATAAATGCATGTACCTTGTGTTGATAAAAAGAAAAGTTCAATTGCTAGCTGTGAAGTAACAGGAACTAACTATTCCTTAAGTGTCAAGATCAAGAACTCATGGTTGGTCAACCCATTATAAATGTTAACTACTTTTTGGTAATTATGCACTTCGATATTAAAAGGGTGGATGCCCTTCAGAGTTGCCTTTAATGGCGACGTTGTGCGTTTGCTTTATGTCTTTACAGTGGGTACACAGTGGTAGGTAGCTCTCTCTCTCTTTTCCTTTACTCTTTCCCAAGTGAATGGGGGATTTGATCCCAAAATTCCTTGTCCCTGCAATGTACTTTACCAGCCATTGTTAGACCTGCTCACACCAAATTTAATCACTAGCTAAGCCATCGGGTTGGTTACACTATTATGTCCTAATTTCTTTGCAACAAGGTAAATAAATTTAATGAAAAAGTCAAGTTGTTGGTGGCACATTTTAGTTGTTGCACACTTCCTAATCCTAGGAGTGTACAATCTCAAGTTACAACTTGATCTTTTCAACTGTAGAGGGTCATGCTTTTCCTTGTGATATCTATCATGGTGCATATGAAGTCAGTAACTAGTGGCGGATCTTCTTGGGAGCTGAGGGGGGCCATGGCCCCCCAAAGTTTTGTAACTTCCATGTAATTTATGATTTTGTCCCCCCAAACTTAATGAACATTTAATATATTTACTTGTATATTTATAATTTTATTCTCTCAGCTCCTCTTTAGTTTTGTAACTCTCATATAGTTTATGATTTTGTCCTCTTCAAACTTAATGATCATTTAATATATTTAAGTATATATGTACAATTTTATCTTTTCACTCTTTCATCTTCTTTCTTCCTTTTATATTTATTTATTATTTATTAATATATTATTTGGCCCCTCCAAGAATTTTCAAGATCTGCCACTGGTAACTAAGTATGATTTAATCACTACAACCTGAAAAGTTTTGATGGATTCTATTATAATATACCTTTTATTTTAAAATGCGTATATGTTTGTATTTCTAACTGCCTTCATTTTTATCTAAATCAAATGAAATGATTTTAATAATCTGGAATTTGGGTGTAGTCTGAAGCAGGTACTGAAGAGTGGGATGATAGCTTACTGACCAAAGAGGAAGTAGAGGCAAGGTTGCAGAGGAAGGTGGAAGCAATCATCAAAAGAGAAAGAGCAATGGCATTTGCATATTCACATCAGGTACTCTCCAAGACAACCTACTCCATTTATGCTTTGCTATTTTGTTTTCTTTGAAAATAAACTGAGTATTAGTTTTTCATAAAAAATGGCACTTTCTGCATTACTTCTATTATTTTCTTTGTCCAATTTTGAATGGGATCACGTATTCTATTACTTGCTTAATTCTTCAAAACTAGCATTTTAAAAGAACACATGTTTGGAAACTTTAGTAAGAATCCAAATTTGAGATGTGAAAGTTGTAACTATTAGTTTCTTTAATCACATTCAAGACTTAGAAGTTGGAACCAAATATAGTCCAGAACAGAAGAGTTGACTTTGTCTTTTCATTGGAATAACAAAATCTCTGTTTCTATAACTTTGTTGACTCTGCCAAACAGCTATGGAAAGCCACTCCAAAATCAAATCACACCCCAGCGACAGATACAAGAGCAGGTGGATTTCCTTGGTGGTGGAACTGGTTGGAAAGACAAGCACCTGCAGCAGCAACTCCACAAGAAAGACAAGTGTTGAAGAATTTTCAACCCACACCTCCAAGACCATACCCAGAACAAAAGACTAGTCCAAGACCTGGCTCTAGCACTCAAAGACAGCAGCAGGCTCATTTTTCCTTTGATAACATGGACACTCCCACACCAAAGTCCACAAAATCAACCATAGTGACATCTTCAAAACCAGCACGAACACCTCCATATAGAACTCCTCAGGCAAACAGTTCAGGTTCAGGCTCTAAATATCTGAGACCAAGGGGTGTGGGAGCCAATTCACCTTTTGATGTGCCACTGAAGGATGATGACAGTCTCACAAGCTGCCCACCATTTTCAGTGCCAAACTACATGGCTCCAACCCTCTCTGCCAAGGCCAAAGTACGTGCTAGTAGTAATCCTAGAGAAAGGCTTGGTGGTACTCCCACAAGTACTGATTCAAGGAGAAGACTCTCATTCCCTTTGTCACAAGGAATAGGATCTTTCAAGTGGTCTAAAGGGTTCTCGAGCAAGGATCAAATGGTGCCAGATAACTTTCAGCCACTTGACTCTATAGGAAACGTGAGTGTGGATTCAACAGTGTCTTTGCCCGCAAGGGTGGGAAGAAAGCCTTTTACAAGATTTGTGTGATTTATTTTGTTTTATTCTTTTTTAACCATTTTATTTTGTCCATGTTGGTGGTGTTATCAGTTACATTATGATTATGATTTGAGTGTATTGCTGATAGTTTGATGACAGGTATACCCGTTGTAAACTAATAAAAACATCATAGGAAATCATGGTTTGGTAACTTTGATTGGAATTGGAGCTTTCTTTTCTTGCTTCTCTTTTGTTGGGTGCAGCTGAAAGCAAACAACAAAGACTATAACTGACCTATTCATCTACTTCTTTTAACTTATTTGTATCAAGCATTACTAATTGATGATGACTATAAAAAGTCATATTAGTCTTCTTCATTTTTATTCATGTAGGAATTGAGTGTGTCAAGAGATTTATAATGTGACTCATATACTCTATTCAACCAACCCTCTTGACATATTTGTCTATATGTTATATTTTTTTGTTTTCTGAAATGAGAATAATAATATTGATGGAGAAGATTACATTGGAACATCATTGGTAGAAGCCAAAAGCTCCTCTTGGGAGAAATAGATGAAGCCAAATCTTATTAGGTAAGCAAACAGAGACAGAGATGCAAATACATGTGGAGGCATAGTGACAGTGTTCACATGGGCTAAGGAAATTTTTTAACAAAGTGGTGCAAGTCTCTGCAATCAAAGACGATGAGTGATAAATCTGGTTATAAAGTAGACACAAGGAATCCAATTCGATATCAGCAAAGGTGGTGTGAATTGCTGAATCAGTAGGTTCATAGCAAAGGTGGTTTGGGTTATAAAAGGAGACAGGGACAACAATTTTCAAAACGATTCCTTCTTTTTCAACTGGAGGGAATCTTGATCCCTAATTTTTATTGATTAAAATAGGTTGAACCTTTAGGGAGGTTAAAGACCGCTACTATAATAAATAAACTTTTAAAAGTTAAATACCCTGTCTTTCCCTTTTTCCAATGGATTTCTATAATTCATGCTCTTCATAACCAAATTCATCTCATATCTTCACCATCTTATAATTCCAATTCACTTTCTTCTTTTCATCTTTTCAACTTCCTATTGATAAACATTTTCAGTTTCTTCTCAAATCCTCTCCCTATCAATATCTCTTCTCCATCCCTCCTCAACCCCTCTTCCATTTTCTGTCTATCCATCCATTCAAATGCAACATGTGACAACAGTAAGTAACGATGTCCCTGATGTGATTTCAATTATACATTTTAAAACTAAATAAATTTTCAAGAGTAAACTGAACGTAGAAAAAAAAATTAAAGAATCAAAAGTAATGTTTAGCCTAAATTTATTCATACATTTTATAACTATTTATTTATTTTATGTTAAAAACATGTTTTTGCAAAAATATAATTTTTAATATATTCATATTATAACTCAGTATAAAGTTTTAGATTTTATTAATATATAACTTTTTAAAACTTTAATATTAAATTTTTATAATTTTTTTATTTAAGTTTTAATATTTTTTAAAATAAAACAAGAGAGATAAGTATATTTTATAAAATATAAGGAATTAAGTGTCATCTTCTTAAAACATATTTTCTTAAAACATATAGTTAATTTGAGTTCAGTCTATGATTTGCGCCGTCCCGTTTTAGCTAGTTTCACCTCTATCTTATTACACAAGGATGGAACAAACTGACCCGTCATAGACAACATTTTTTTATATATATTTTTTTAAAATATACTTAATTATATGAATCATTTTTAAGTTTTTATTTATTAATTAATATTTTTATTAGATAAATTTAAAAAATTATTATATTTATGTATTAAAATAACTAATTATAAATAATTATTTAAATTTAATTAATTATTTTTTAAAATTAATAATTTTAATTATTATATTATATTATAATAATATATTTTAATAACATGACATAAAAAAATATAATATTTTTAATTATACTTTTTTTTATTTTAATATATAAATATTTATTTAAAATGGACCAACATGTCCAGCTCTATTTTTGGCTCATAAGATTAACGACTAAGTAGATGAACCACAACAAGTTATTTTTGGCTCATAAGATTAACGAGTAAGTAGATGAACAACAACAAGTTAACGGACTAAAGCTATCAATCATGTTTCACTAGGCGTAACCCCTTTTGCCATCCTATAATAGTTTTAGAGATGTACGTCTAATTTCTAATAAATATTATAATTATAGTTGTTAATCTTTATTTACATGTTAGAAAAAATAAAATAAAAAATTGCCTTTTAAGATATTAAACGAAGAATCATTTAAAGATTAAATAATAGATAATACATTATTTATATGTTTTAGTAGATGATATACAGATTGAAATAGATTCTACAATCTCTATATTATATAGATATTAGTGGAAGTTGTATTTAGTTAAAATCAATTTTTTTAATAATCATTAATGTTATTTAATATTATTTTATGACATTTTTTTTATGTTATTTTTTTAAAGTACTTATGGAGAAAGAAGTTCTTTATTAAAAAAATGTTACAAACAATCAAATGACCTTTTTTAAATATAAAGATATTGAAAAAATAATTTTTTTATTATTTATCAATCTATTATATAATTTAAATTATTACTAATTAAAAGTAAATAAATAGTTTATATTATCATATCAATATAACAAATTATGAAATGCATTAAGTCTTCGTTTGGATTGAAAGTTGTTATGTTTATATGTAGAAACGAGAGAGTTTGTATGTGTTTGTTTCTAACCATTTGTGTTGATTTGAAAAGATAAATTAGTGGGACCTATCACACTAGAAAATACCTTCATATATGCAAAGAAAAGCAAGGAAACATGAGTGAAATTTCTTTGTTATTCTCATTTGCATCTTCATGAGAATTTTGCTGGAAATTCTTTAAGCAATTTACTACATTACATAGCCAATACAATTGAAGAAGAAAAGAAATATTACAGTCATCAATAATTGATTATGCACTCATTGATAATCTATTTGAGTTGTGTGATAATCAATTACTGTAAAAGATGTAATTAATTATGTTTGTTTTCATAATAGTAGATGTGTGTCCCATAATTCTCCTTCTCTACTCTAGTGATAATTTATACATTAAATATATGCTAAATCAATGGTTTTACTATGATTATGTTAATCATAAACTTGAATTTTTCTTTTTTAAACTGTATAATAGAATTTATATGTGTATTTGATATTAGTAGGATAGGTTAATTTTAAGTTTGCACTATTAAATAATTTCAAAAATTAGTTTATAGTATTAATTTATAGAAATTAGATAATTAATTATAAAAATTATTGGAACTATAAATAATTCAAGAAACAAATTTAGACAATAATTATAAAAAAATAGGTAAATATTTAGGATTATTATTTACTTTGTTAATTATAAGTAAATAATTGTAATTTACATGTAAAATAATATATAAGAGTGTTTTGGTTATTCATCATTTTATCTTTTTTTTAATCAATCAAATCAATCTTATCTTTTACCATCTTTCCACTAATTTTTTTTCACTTTCCCCCTTCTTTCCATCAATCCAAACAATCTCACTTCTAACATATACTAAGAACTATATTTAATATTATTTTTTGTAAGAAGTTTGTTTAAGTCTAATCCTAAAGGGATATTATATTTTACTAAGCAATCTTGACAATTTAATAGCATGTATTCTAAAGAGATCATTGTTCCGTCTAGAAATGATAGTGTCCCGGTCTTATGTCCATTATGATAGTATCGTTAGGATCAATTCCCCATGTCCGAGAAATTGTCCGCTTTAGAGCTTTAGTCCATCATGATTTTATTCTTAAAAAGATGTCTTAGTGGATTAAGAGAGAATGATATATATAAATTACCTTTCGCCTCAATTCTTAAGTGATGTGAGGCTTATTAGTGTACCGAAACAACCACCATAAGGTACAAAAGTAGTGAAAGTATACTCCCATCGATACTTTTAAAGCTAAAAAACCATAAAATGATCCATCATATATCTGATGGATAATCATGGGATAACAGATGTGTGGTATTTGTTAGACTTTGACAATCAGACTATCTTAAGTCTTACAATAGAGAATATTATTTTCATGGTTTGGATGATAACATATATGGTTAAGTTTTATATGTGTTAAGATTGAATGCAAGTAACATATATGAGCTATTTACATGTCAACTAATGACCCAGTAATTCAATTGATGAGCCAATTAGATTAGTGTGTTAGACAACATCTAGTATAGTGGTCATCAAACTAGTTAAGGGACAACGCATCATCTAATAACTCACTCGAGCAACCTACCAACATCTTATTTAATGGGTAGCAAATTGGCGAGTACTAAATACAACGAATGATGGTTACCAAATCGATTGATCATTTATGTCATCTAGTGAAGTGCAAAGGCAAATATAATACTTGTGAATTTAAGATATTTCAAGATCCACTACAAGTCATAAGCTCGTTTGATGAAGGTTAAACTTGACCAGTGCCATTAACATCATTTCATGAAGTACAATTGGATCTGGCAAGTTGTTATCATCCTCTAAAGAAGCTCAACTTGATTGAATTACACATCATCAATCAATATGTGGAGATCATACATGACTAACTACGCACCATAAACTTATGTAATAAATGTTGACCAACCATATGTAGTGTTCATAAGTTACAAGTCATTAGCCTCATTTAATGAAGACTCGACTAACTACAAGTCATCATCTTCACTCGATGATGTGTTGACCAACTACACATTAGTAGCTAGGGGTGTCAAAGTGAGCCAACCCGGCTCACACGGGTTGGCTCACAACGGGTTGAGCTGAAAATAGGTGAGCTCAACCTGACTCACTTTTTGGCGAGCCAGACATTTTACAACCTGGCTCAACCCACCACGGGTTGGTGGGTTAGGTGGGTTGGTTCACTAACCCATATTTTTTTAATTATATAGAAACTTCGGATGTAGAAACTTATGTTTTCTTCCTTTCTTTCTCAACATCAGTATCTTCGTTATTAACTGAAATTGACTCATTGGGTTTTTCATTAATAATAAAATCATCACCAATACAATTTACATTGACACTTTGATGTATTGTTTCAAATAGTTTAGGTTATGAAACAAATTTTTACCTTTGAAAGGAATACAGTGGTTTAGGTTATGAAATAAATTCTTACCTTTGAAAGCAATAAAGTGGACATGGTGTAGTGGTATGGTGGACAGATAATAAGACAAGTGATCAAAGTGCAATGACAAACGTAATGGTGCAGCGAACAACTGATAATAAGTTTAAGTGAGGGTTTAGCTTGTGGCGACAACCAACAATGTAGAGTAGAGGTAAGACATGATAACAACAATTAGGGTTACTAAAGATTATAATTATTTTTAAAATTTAAAATAAATTATTAATTAAGGTTAGTATGCTATTATAATTATTTTTAAAATTTAAAATTAATGGTGGATTGTAGGCCAACCCACCATAACCCGGCTCGAACCCGTTTAACCCGTGGGTTAAGTGAGCCGGGTTCATTTTTAGCCCATAATCGGTAGAAATAAAAAAATCGAACCCAACCTGGCTCGAACCCGTGGTGAGCCGGGTTGGCTCACGGGTTAGAACCCATATTGACACCCCTATTAGTAGCTAATTTGAAGGAATCAAAATCGACTAAAATTTCCTATCATTAGGTCACCCAACGTAGACTTGAATAAATTGTTTATCATCAATCTCAATCAAAGAAGATTCAATCACTAAAGCTTATTTGGAATCAAGCTATACATTTTATTAAGTAGAACTTCTATAACTACTAGGCTCATTACTACATGTCAACTAGTGTAATTACCATAACAACTATTATTGATAGTCTTGACTAAGTCTATGAAGCATGTCTTAAAATATTATAAACTTATTAATAGCAACATACCACTACATAATTAGCATATTAAACATGTGCTTATGAATTACTTGATCAATGTATCAACTAATAGGAACATTATTTGATATATATATATATATATATATATATATATATATATATATATATATATATATATATATAATAGTTGTGCATAGAAAGTGAGTAGGGCAAAAAGGATAATCATTAAGAACACTTTTCTACATAAATGCAAGGTCGCTCATTGGGTGAATATTTTGGCAAAGGCAAAACAACACTAAAGACCATGAATACCATTGAACATGCATTGTATTTTTATTTAAAGTTGCACACATGTT